GGTGGTGGCGGGGGTGGTGGTGGTGTGGGCGTGTGGTGGCGGTGGCGGTGGCGTGGTGGCGTGATTGCGTGGTGGTGTGATGGCGCGGTGTGGTGGTACGGTGTAGGGGCAGGGGGGGGTTGAGGCGGGGTAGTCTGTGTCTGGGGGCGGGGTTGTAGCAGGGTTTGAGGAGGTGGAGTTCATGTGAACATTTGTTGCTTGCCGCAGCCCGGGACCGCCTAACCTTCGAAACAACCTCTCCTAAAGGAACCACTGTCAACTGAGGTGACAGAACTTGCCCATACAGCACCTGTTGAGGTCCCGAACGATCAAAATACAGAAAGCGCGCCAAGATCGGCCAAGGGTAGTACTCCAACTCCAAGCCCCAGTTGCCCAAGGGATGAGCTGCCATCCGACCGGTGTGTCTGAGCGTAACATGCGTAACTCAACAGGCGAACTTTGTGGGCCGATGGCAACCTCTTGATGACAGTGGTCCATTCACTGTCCTTAGCCTCCGTGATGTCGCAGACCGCAGCACATACGCACTGCAAGCGGCTTTCTATCCAGCCATACTAGTCAACTTTCGGGCTACGAGCTTTGAGCCTGCAGCTCGTCAGCATGATTCCGTTCGTTGCCCTTGACCGAACAAGTTCGCGCATGCCGGCAAAGTACTTGCACACCTCCTCCCCCTGGTCACGGTACACATGCACACTACACTAAACTACACGAATACATACAAATACCGTTCATGTTCGAGAGCATGCAGTCAGCAGAGCATCCATGTGCTTGAGTGCATCCGATTACCGGACCATCCATGCCCAAGCCATTTCCGCGTTCATCCCTGAGAGCATACCGTTCAAAGAGCCTTCATGCCCAAACCGCAATTCAAGAACGTTCATGCTCAGGTGCATCCGAAGCCTTTCATTTAGAATGATGCTATGAGGTAAGCTTGATGCGGGGGATGCTTTTCAGAATCAATGCCCCTAAAGTTTCCATTGCACAAAACGCCACGCCTGTGCGCAAAACCACGGTCCATCAGGCGCGCGTGACCTTGTCCTCCTTGTTGTTGTTGTTGTTGCTGCTGCTGCTGCTGTTGTTGTGGTTGTGGTGCTTAGTGGTTGTGGTGTGGTGGTCTTGTACTGTTGTGCCGTTGTGCTTTTGTGGCATGGTGGCGTGGTGGCGTGGTGGCGCGGTTGAAGGCATGGGAGCGGCGGGGGCGGCGTGGGGGCGTGCGGCGGCGGTGCGGCAGTGGCGGTGGGCTATTGTGGGGCAGTGGGGGCTGACAGCAGGCTGTGAGAGCTCTAAAGGGCACATGAAGCGGCTTGGCGCCCGCCTGAAGCTCCAGTCTGGAGACGCGAAACACGTGAACAAACTGGTGAATGAAAAAGTTTTTGTGACTGCTCGGCCCGGCCAATCCTTCTACTGTACCTGTACATCATTGCTCCGCCCGGAGCCATGAACCTCACCAGAATGACACATCCACGCCGTCAGGGAAATAGTCGCCAAAAGGGTCCCGTAGCTTCGCTCCCTTTGCCAGTGCCATTCCGTTACGCCTTGAAAACGCCTCCAGATTGGCCAGGATTTGGTGATTCCCCCAGCCACAACCCCTTTCTTGAGATTGGCAAAGCTGGGCTCTGCCCTCAAGTTTGAGGATGAAACTTTGGTAAAGAGGGTTCTAAGGAATATGTACTATTCTGGGCGTCGTTGAAATGGTAGTAGCGGTAATAGTAACAGTGCTTAAAACTGTAGATGCAGAGTGCTTTGCACCTTAGCTGCTTATCAAAGCCCAGATCTGCTGCATGCGCCCTTACTCCGCATCTGCTCCGCACAATGGCTTTCTCAGTGCACGCTGCAATACTTCTTAAGAACACAAATGTGTAACCTCGGTATTCAAGAATTCTCGTAGCTTGGACGCCTCGAACAAAATGGTTCGAATTTCCCTACACACCATGGTCTTGAACAAACCCGCATGGTTCGGCAAGCTGCTTACCGTAGCTGGGCCATTTAAATCCAAAATCCAAATTCCTCTTCCGTCTAAATGCCGTGCTCTAGAGATCTTATTGGTTCTCACTTAATTAAAATCGCTTTCAAACTCAGCCCTGGAAAAGCCGGCAAACAAAAGCTAGTCTTTGTCACCTGCAGTTTTGGCTACGGACGACCGGAATAGTCAAGCGAGCCCAACCGAGCAAAAGAACCTGTGACTTACCTTGAACTGGCCGTCGTAGTAGACGTACTAGGCTAATGAATATTAATACTTCATAATAGCCTAGGAGCCAGACTGGTCCGCGCTATCAAAAAAGACTAAATCAAGATCCGGGCCATATTCGTCGGCAGTATATGTGGGCCTTGGAGCAGACGTGCACCTCACGTGCTCGCCAGCGTCGGCTAGCCGGGGGCAGTTCTTACTCTTGGTGGCGTCGCATGCCATTGGCATCGGCCCCTGAAAAATCCTCATTGTCAAGCCAAGTCCTAGCGGCCATGTGTTTTCAATGGCGAGCTTGCAACATGAGGAGTACGCGAGCGCGCGCATCCCACTCGAGTCGTTCACAGATTTGCAGCATCTCAAAGATTCCATAGCATCGTTGACAAAAACGCTGGGACACTGGGGAGGTTGTGGATTACCCAGGCATGTCGCATTTCCAGCTCCAAGGCTTGATCGGCACTTGGAAGCCATCCTTGCCTCTTCCAAAGCCGGAACTGCGTTCGGAGGCATTGGACCCTGGAGAAGTGGCTGCACGCGAAATGCTTCAGTTATGACATGACTTACGAAGCATCCAGGCAACCTTTTGCGGTCTTGGCCCTCAGCACCGGGCAGGCTCTGCAATGGGAGGCGGCAGCGATGTAAGCTGAACCGACACCTGAAAATTTGAGGCACGGTGTCAAAACGATATCATCGTGCAGGATGGTTCAAGATGCAAGGAAGTTGCAGACGAAGCAAGAATCTTCGAATTTGAAAGAAGCAGACCACGGAATTCTCTTCAGACTCTTGAGAATTTCTGAGTGCACCGATGCGGGAATCAGATTCCAGCTAGCAGCTGGACCTGGAACTGCTGTTCGCAAAAGGCGGAACGATAGTGTCGCGATCTAGCTCGTCCTTGCACTGCGCGTGAAGCGCGGTGCATGTGCCAGGAGCGCTTTATCTGACAACCACCAGAAACTACTTCGAAGTGCTTGCAGCAGCATGATGGCAACGAGGAAATAGAGAGAGACCAGCATCTAAGCCTCAGGCGGCTCCCTCAAGCAGGAGCTCCTCATCGACCCAGGGCCTCCGAAGTACTGACTGGCTTGAAGTGTCGTGTAACCTGCCTCGAGAGCAGCAGTTTTATGTCCGATGGCAATTAACATATGATGTGAGCAAAGGTCAGAGGAATTCTGGCCAACTCTCGCGAGAAAGCGCTTGCCTTTCGCGTCTTCTTTTGCCAAACTTTCACGCAGCCTGTTATGCCTTGGGCTTATTTGTGCGCTGGAGGCTGCATGGCCCGGCTTCGACCAGCAGCCTCCTGCCTCAAGCCTGTACTTTTTTCCACACCATGTGCCCACATGTGCCTTATAAGATCCCGCTTCCATCCTGGGCGATGCCTCAAGGAGTGGTTGCTGAACATTCTATTTGACGTGACTCATCCATGACCTGTGAATGTCTCACAGCTCTTCCGCTGGCTTTCGTGTTGGCTTTCGCGATTCTTTTGCGGGACTTGCACCAAATTTTTGTGGCAAAAGCCAGGAATCAGCAATATCTGGGTTAGGGTCTCAAAGTGGGTCACACGTAGATCACGCAGTGCACCACAACGTGGGTATACGTTACCCCATGTATGATCGCCTGGAGCCTTCGCAAATGATTGAAGTTGGGGCCTCCCAGGGCCACACATAGATCAGAGGGAGCAGGTTGGGCACGGGCGGGACGAAGCCTGGTACGAAGAACGGTGACAACTTGTACAACCTTACAGCTTTCAGCACTGAATGCCATGCTGCTTGTCTTTGAACTTTCGCAAAAAAGTGTTCTCCTTCCTCGTCTTTTCTTTCAGGAGTTTTTCGCCAGCCATTTCAGGTCATCTCGAATGATCACCCTGGTATGACTCAAAGACAGGGTGTTAAACATGTTATGTTTAACACCTTAGCCTCCAGCGGCTAACGTTCTGCTGGAATTCAAAGCCCAACATGTCGTGCTGTCTGTCGTTGTCGCAACTTTCGGAAAGGCTGCTAACTTTGCTTGATCACATAAGGATACTTGAGTATGCCATGACAATGAGCCCAGAAAGTGGGTTCTCTATCTTGTCTCTGGGCACCCCAAAGGCGAACTAAGTCTGTCACGAGCTTGCTGCCAGGCTCAGATTACAAGACGCTGCCGCATCAGTTTCGCATTCGTATGTTGCGATTCGTTTGAATTCGAGCGTATGCCGTGAATGCGTGCCAGTGAGGATGGACGTGAGCGGTGGTGCTCGTCAATGGTCTCAGCTATGGCGTAAGGCGGAATTGTCAGTTCCAAACTTGCAAATATGTCAAATCATTTTCAGTTCACTTCAGCTTTCGGCGGGCGCCTTCCTTGAACCAATTCACGAGAAATTTCTACCAGCCGCTCAACCCTGGAAGTGGATTTCCACCTGCTGCCTCAACGCGTCATGTGGCAAAAACTGCTTCGAAGCCACAACGCTAAAAATCAACAGTCATCCTGCAGCAGCTGTACACATGAAGTAAGAGTCGCCATCTTCATGTGTGCAAAAGCGTCAAGCTTACACTTAGAGAAGCCATGAGAAGCCTATGCACGTTGCCTTGCGGCTGAATGCACTAGCTGGCAAATCAGACAAGAATCCTTCCTGAAACGCGGGACGGGCAGCAACTGATCCGAATCGATTCGAGAACCGCGGATGTAAAGCGGTGGTATGGAACCGATCAAGCAACAAAGAAAGACTCTGAAAATCCGAAACGCCAAAGGCTATTTGTCCAGGGCCGCGCAGCGCGTGCTGTCAAGACTCGTATCAAGGGTCGCGCAGAATGCTCCTGCTTGCTGTGACGAACGAAGCACTGGACCGCCAAGAAACTTTTCCAAGAATAGCTAGCTTCACATGCTGTCTTGGCATTCTTGAGATGAATCCGTGAACATCAACCATAGACCAGGTGCAGGCAAAAAAATCGAGTTCTGAACACTCGCTACACTCTGTATCTGAATTTACAGGTATATATCACTGCACAACCTAAAATACAAAACGACTGACTGCAACCTGAAGGATAGGCACGTAACATGTGCTCATGTAGCGGCAGCAAATGTCTCATAGTTCTGATCCAAGTCTGCCACGGGACAGGGCCAATGCCAAGTTCCGTGCCCTGCGCATAGGGTCAAGGACTTTAAGGGACGACAGCTCCTTTAACACCCACCTTGAGAACAGAGCTTCCATCAGAGCCAAACAGCGCGGCGAGCAAGCCTTCATGCCTGGCCATTCTAAATAAGTTAACTTGACAAGGCAAGAGCACGCCAAGCCTACCATGTGCCTCCTGGTGGCCACCACGAAGTCGGCAGGAGGCAAAGCCTCACTCATGACTGAAATCTGGCAATGAGTCAGTCAGTCAGGCGGCAGCCAGCCAGGCAATCATTCAGTCAGGCAGACGCGTTGCATGACACCTACTAAACAGATCTCGTACAAGTCTTGAAACTCCCGTTGCGGTTGGAACGGTGACCTCATTAACAGTTTCAACCTTACCTTTTTGTCTTGCGCAGTAAGATGCATAGGGATCAAACGGACGCTTGAGGACTTCAACGCACTCCATGGTTCTACACGATATTTGCATGTTGGATGCAGCAAAATATGAAAGTAGAGAAGATCAGCAATGAAGAGCACAAGCAATTCAAAGTGCATATTAGCTTGGATTTGATGACTGCATTGTACATGAGAATCCGTTCAATCTCTACGGATACTTAAAGATTTCTACATCTTGGACTTTGGCATGTTTTCGGCTCATGGTACGTATGGGGAGGTCTGCCGTGATTTTTTTTGCATGCCTTCAGGGTGCCGCCCAACACAAAACCAAAAGCTGCTGTTACTTCTGTCGCTTCTACAATAGAAGCAATAGAAGTTCTATTGCTTTCATCGGATTCCGAAATTCTAGATTTCTCAAATAGACGAAGTTTTCTGGAAGTCTGAAAGTTTGTACTGGAAAACTTTCACTCTGGTAATCAGGAAATCTGGCTCGCGTCATTTCCGGAAATCGGAATGTCTACACTACAATGAACCCACAATATGTGAATCCTCTACATTTCAGGCGTTTTATGAACTAATTCTCGTTGTGGCGTGCGTTACAAGCGACTTTGTTCTCCACAGCCATACGCTCCCAACCTCGTGTATCCGTGTAAGTGCATCCGGTTCCTGCGATGAGGATGATGCTGTAAGCTTTCAAACGAGCACATTGTCGAAGGCACTTTGCAACAAAGACCTGCAATCCTGACTTCGCACAAAAAAACTTCTTCGTTGGTCAAGTATACGGTGTGTGATCGGTACCATACACTCTCTCCAGCTTAGCCCCATGACTAATCCGTTACGTCAAACAATGCTACAAACAGGAGCACAACAGTGCAGGCGCATCCTTCTGTTTTCCATAAGCTGGAATTTCATATGGCAGAAACGTCAGGGACACATTAGTCCCTGGAAGTCAACACCAGGCAGGTGCAGACAGAGACCTGCACGGAACATAGAAGCAGAAAAGGCTGGCTGCATCAACGGGCAGCAATGCAAAAGCATCAACAACAGGTAATGCAAGCAGCAGCACATGGCCGGAGCAGGCCGCTTCAGGTCAACACAGAAAAGTGCAAGGCAGAAGTCCAAGGCAGGAGTCGACGGGGCGGAAGGACGGGAGCCTGGGACAGAGCCCAGATGCAGGCCAGTTGGGGATAACCCCAGGCAGAGAGAGCCCAAGTCAAGGCAAACACAGGGGATGGCGGGTGGGAAGTCAAAAACACTGCATTAACATGGCTGCAGCATGCAGGCGGGTGCAGCTACAGCATAAGACTTCCGTTGCAACAGGGGCTAAAAACACAAATGCGTGCACAGAATGGTTTAGCTCCATGACTAATCCGTTACGTCAAACAATGTTACAAACAGGAGCAAAACAGTGCAGGCGCATCCTTCCTGTCCTTAAGCCAGAATGTCAAGTGGCAGAAAGTCAGGGACAGATTAGTCCCTGTAAGTCAACACCAGGCAGGTGCAGACAGAGACCTGCACAGAACCTATAGGCAGAAAAGGCTGGCTGCATCAACGGCCAACACGCGACTCAAACAAACGCGCAGTGGATTGACCCGCAGGGATTTGATGCAGCCCAAACGCCACTCAGGACAACGCACCAAACAGAGAGCGAATACTCAAGTCAGGCGGGTAGACTTGAATGACTGGCAGAGAGGAAAGGGCAGCCCGGGGCGGAGAGCGAAGCTGGTCAGAGGAGAACCCCAACGACGCAGGGTCAGAAGAGCGACTGGGCTTGTCAGCCAAATCGTTCAAGAGGCCAGGGACATGGTTAATATGGGCAGACACCCGACAGTCCTCTTGAAAGTGAAAGAAGCAACGCAAGGGGTGGCATAAGCCCTTGGTCGTGGACTGGCCCTTCCAGGAGGCAGATTTGGCAACGCGTCATCGCACGACAGGTACATGCACAGGCAGGTTGGTTCGGCGAGAGCATAGAATGTGCAAGCCAAACGAGTGCGATCTGAGCCAGGAGCTCCCAACAAGCAATGAACCGCTGCTGGATAGCAGTGGAGAAAACCAGTCCACCAGAGCAGCCAATTCCGCGCGGGAAAACTGGTGCTGAAAGTAGCAGGTTGGGCCGCCAGGGAAACGGACAAAACCACCGAGGCCTGCAGAGGCAGAATCAGCGCCTTCATCGGGCTGACAAGGATGCAACGCGAAAGAGCAAGGAGATCCAGCCAGAGGCGGATAACTTCCCGAGAGGCCTGGGAGACAGGACGGTCATGAGACCAGGGCACTTAGGGAAGGTGAAGGTCATCAAGATCAGCATCAACCGAAGAGTAACAAAAGTGCCACTGCTTTGGTGTCAGCGCACAATGCACTGGGATTCGGGACGACTCGTCAGGGTAAAGGGGAGTCATGCAAGGCCGGAATGCCCTCACCAGTGCAGATAGCCAGTTGAGCTTACCAGTCAGCTTCTCAAGCGTAACCAAGGGCAGACCTTCAGGCCACGAGTAGATTCAAGCAGGGCGACAATGCGGGCCTTCTTCCCATCCTCCATGTCGGCGGTGAAAGAGTCCAGGCAAATGACCCAGCCAAGCCAGACAGGAGTGGAAGACAGGGAGGCCTTACGCTAGCCCATGGGCACGCGCAAAAGGCAGAGCAAGTATTGGCGGACAGCAGGCAGATGAGGTCATCCACATCCACATAAATGAGAAGCAGTTGCCCCACGTATATAATGCGATGACCCAGGCGGGTGAGAATACCAGCCAGGCGGGACCAGTAGAGCGAAGGAGACCTTGGTCAGACGGACGGATCAAGATGCGTCGGTGGGCCTTGGAGACACCCAGGACCAGGGCGCGGACAGCTCTGTCTCTCTGGTGTCACTGCCCACGCTCACCTTCCCAATCTCTCATCAAGTACTGTTGCTGGGGCGCGGGAACAGGGCGGACCCAACCCTCACAAAACTTCCAAGGTTCTTCAACGACGTGAGGGCTCCACACATTCTGGGCAGGGTGTCAGAGGCTCGAACGCACGCAAAAGGCGTGGCAAGTAGGAACAGACAGAAGGTAGCAGGGGCCCAGGAAAGCTTCAAGTCTCCAAGAAAAGGAGCCAAGTCTGCATCAGACAGAGGCGGAGGAGCCGTAGAGCTGGAGTGGAGGGCTGCCACAACACGCACATTCAATGCGTCGCCTGTGGGGAACCCACCACATGGCAGTACTAGCAAGGCCTCCGCCATCCTAAACCTGACATGGGAGAGAGGGAAAGAAGCGCCTGGAGGCAGAAGAGTGTTTTCGAAAAAGCAACATCCTCTTCTGTAGAATGGAGGCATAGGCACAGGCAACGGCGCCTCTGTCGTTCGCCTCTTGCAGGATGCCCCGGGCTGCCTCACAAAGAGCTTGAGCGGCGCCCAGCCATGTGTTGGCGCGTCCGTTTTGTATCTTGCCTGCAGCAGGCTGTTCGTGACAATCTGGCAGAGAACTCGACTTCTTTCTCTCCGACCTCACGGTGTCCACTCCGCCAAATGCACTGTTCTCTCCTGAGCCCGCCAGCTTAACTTCTGCCCCACGGCAGGAGACTGTGACGCGCGCAACGTTACTGCGGTGATTACACAGCAGCACAGGGTTCTCCCAACGCAGCCCGGCTTGGATAATGAAACCTGGCGAGTCAGAGGGCGCAGAACAGCATCAGACTTCCGTTGTGACTGGGGCCGTTTGCCTGAGTCATCTAGGTCTGGCTTTTCCAGGTTTGCTACGTCCAGCTCTTAGCTCACCGACTCCCCCCCATGGCCACCTCTTCCCTGGTCGCAGAAGGTTCTTTTGCCCTGGACGACGCTCTGTGGGGGGGCATCGTCTACGCCCTGCCTGCTGGCGACCTGATGCCTCTTGTCAGCCGCTTTTTGAGCCTCTGTGTCTGGTGGAACATCCACTTCGGCACTGCTTTGGCGGGTTCTGCGCTGCCTGACACAAACACCATTCTGGCTCACCAGTTCCATGACCCGCAAGGTCCAGGCAACAAAGACCCACTCAAGACACCTCTCTGGACGAACGATGGATTCCTCCGTCCCATGCTTGTTGGAGGCAACAAAGCGCGTGGATCTTGGGCCTAAATGACCTTTCACGCGCACGTGGGCCTGCCTTCGCTCCACCCTGGCACTGCGCCTGCCATTGTCCACCCGGACCTGGCACACTGAGTCCGCCTGTCTTTGCCTCCGCCTATACCAGCATACGCCCTGTCTGCAGTCTGCAAAGCGCGGACTCCTGACTCTGGTAGCTGCTCTGCACGTAGACACTGTTCCTGTTGCTTGCTGCATGTTGCGCTCTGCACTTCGTCTGCGCCAGGACCCTCCTCGCTGAACTCAACAACCTTGCCAACGACCTGCCAAACACCCAGATACATGTACAGAATCGGCATATACCTGGCTTGATTCAAACGGACTACTTATAGCGTTCATCTCTTAACCCCATGAGCGTATTCAATCTCACTCTCAAGCGAACACGGTGAATGGCACAAAAATCCTGAAATCGCAGAAAACACTTACTTGGTAGTGAAGCATATAGGTGCGTGACCCTGGCCACACACATTTTAACACCTTAGTCACACGCACACACACCTAATGAATCTATTGGCTTAATGCGATTGGGTCAATTATTGCTTTGATCTCCCGACCGCCGACCGTATGAGTGTCTTACATCTCACTCCTGGGCTAAGCAATAAGTAGCCTGAATTCAATGAGAGGTCACGGTGACAATCTAGGTCGAAATATTGCATTGGATTGATTGGCTCCACCCTGGCTAATAGATCTATCAGTCCAAATTCTCTGCGTCACACACGCAAAGTACTTCGTAGATGAGCTCGAAACTAGATTTGAAAGACTAAAGAACGTTGGCCAAGTTAACAGGCTAATTAGGCCATTGCGTTACACTTGATTTAGTAGCTCCGCACATCCTAATTGATCTATCCATCTAAATTCTCTGCGTACTATACGCGAAGTACTTACTACATAACATATCTTATTCAACAGAATACGTAGGCTCTAATCAAACTCGCTCATTAAGCCCAATGAAGCTCAATTCGCAAGTCGATGCCACAACCTTTTCTGCATAGTTTGCTTGTACACGGATTTGACCTGAAGGCAATTCTTCAGCAACCATGTCTGGCCGCTGCTCCGGAATCAGGGAAAGGGTCCACACGAGCAAAAAACCTTATCTGCGTAGTTTACATAGGATACTTGCTACTGTTACTTGGACTAGTAGCTTGTTAAACAGATTGGTTAGGCTAGCAGGCCCAGGCCCTAATCACACGCTCTTATTAAGCTTTAATTTGCAAGTTGAGGCAAGATTTTCGAGTCATTCATTCTACTTGGATGAGGAAGCCCCAGGCAAAATCCAAATGTACGCAATGACCTATTTGAAGAAAGTACGATCAACTAGGTTCCACAAGTTAGTTAATTAAGTTTAAAGGCCACGCTCTTACTTTTTCGTGGTTTCGCCGGAACTTCTTGCTTGGTGAATTAAAGTAAATGGCTCAGTTCACTTAAGCAAGTCTGCATTCATCCCACCATTGGATTACGAGTTCTTGGGTGAACCGGCATAGGTGGACTGCGAGCGCCATGTAGTCGCGGAGCACATGTAGCAGCTCTCTGAGGTTGTTGTAGGCAACGGCCTAAATGCGCTCGGTGATCTGCGCCCACACGACATACGACTGGGTGACCATTACCAGGCGGTCTGCGCTGCGCTGACTGATGACAAGGGCACCCACAAAGAACGTGCTCCACCGCCGGCTGTGGCTGTCTGTTCGGTTCGTCGAGGACCAGGCCGAAGGTGGTGAGCCGTCAGGAGGTGATGCGGTAGTCCAGCGCGTATTTCCACGGCCATGAGGTGTTGATAACACGACACGGCGGCGCGCCCGAGGCAAATGCGAGGTATGGATTATTTACCTCCTGCGCTGCGATGCAGCGACGCAGCTCGCGCGCCGCGTGAGAGTATATAGGGAGTACCCCCACGCAAGTTGTGGCATGGGCTTTGCAAGCGCTGGAGCAAAGAATGGTGGCCTCGTGGGTGGGAGCCACACCAGCCGTCCTGATATACGGCGCGCTGCGGTGATGGGCCGGACGGTGCTACGGGTGGGGCAGCAGTGGTGTGCCCGCGTGGCACACAGGTCGTTCAAGGTAGGGCGGCATGGGCTGACGAGCACCTCGCCGTGTGTTGGTATGGGCGGCGGTGGGTGTTGACTGGGGCACTGACTTCTTGGCTGGGGACAATGATGGGGCACTGATGGTGTTGCTGCCGTTGGTTCCGCAAGCCTGGCTGATGAGCCGCGATGCGGGTGGCGCTGGTCGTGTGGTGGCTCGCGGCGGCTTGTTCTGAGGCGACGGCGAGCGCGTGTCCGGAGGTGCCTTGGCAGCCGGCTTGGCGATGTTATTCGGGTG